TAGTTTTATGTGTTCCCAAGTTATGGGGGTTATCACCACTGCTTTACCTATCAAAGTTAGATAACTGCAAAAATAGCCATTTTTAGCAATTATTAGCCCTTTTAGCCCGCAATAGCACCATTAACCACTAATGGAACCACATTTTTCACCCATGGCCTGGCTTGGAACACCACCCCATGAAAAAAATCATCCGGTTTCCAGGATGTGAACACCTTGCAGCAGAACTTGTCACAGAAGACCTATGAACTCGAAGCCTTGAAAAAGTCCTATTCACAGGTTGGAATGGTGAGCCGGTTGGGTGATCAAAATGATCATGTTCTCCAACTTAGCATCCAAACATATCCAAACATACTACTGTTATTAAAAAAACAGAAAACAAATCGATGGTCTTTCATGGGACAATTACATTCGATTCCATTCAAATCCAAAGACGATTCTTTTTCATAGGAAACAAGACATAACACATGGTGATTTATATTTTTGCAATAGGAAAAACATTGGTTTTGTGACAGTGGTGTCCTACTTTAAGAAACGGAACGGGAATTCAGCTGCACAATTTTATAGCGACCAAGAATGGTCGACCAGGCTACAGGCCAGGCATGTTGATCATTATCTGACCTGTTCGATGCTTGCCAAATTACTCCAAATTGTAGCCAAAAAAGCTGAGATGGTAAATCCAACGAAAAACATTGATGTATATATGTATATAATATATAACATCTTTGAATGGGCAGGAGACATGTGAAAACATATGAATTGCCAAAGAAGCTTGGGCTAAGTGCCAAGCTCGGGTCTCCCCTTCATCAATACGTAAGCCCTTTACTCACATCTTCATTGTGGACATGAGTGCGTCTCAGATTACCCCTTAATTAAATTAACCCAATTATATCCAGTTATTGTTACATTATGTTATTAACCCCCAAATTTATCTTCTATTTTCGTGACACAAATTATCAAACTTTACCCCAAGCTATGCTAATTGGTTGCCACGAAAATGACCAGAAAACAAATTCAGTGTCTGCTCCCAAACCAGGCTGCTACCCGATGCTCAATCCATGCCCAACATCAACATCTTGGGCATGGGTCAAAACCAATACGCCATTTTTTGGGGGTGTATGAACATCCATAGATGTCCTTTTCCCATTGGTTGGTTGGTTAATAGAGGGGTTTGAAGAAACCCCTTTAACAACAGGTAAATGATGATAGATGGTATACCAAACCGGCCCCTCTATTTTTACCAAAAGGACATTATTGTGAACATCCATTTACCAACTATTTAAGGCTTGTGCCACAGTTTTGACCGATATCATATTCATATCATATCCATATCATTTTGGGCTCCTGGGAAGGCTGTTGTCGGCCTGGTAGGCGCATCAACACCTGCAAAGCTCCCTGATCCAAATGCAGACGCTTGGAGATCAGCAGGTCTTAGCTTGTTGAATATATATATATATATAATAACAATAATAGTAATACTAATAATAAGACTAGTACATATCATTAATTAATAATAAAAATTAATTATCATAGTAATGACAATGATAATAACTCAATATATACAGTATATATATAATATTGATAGAAATAGAAACTCTAGTTGGTGTTTCAAACATCGGTGGCCCTGCGATTCTCAGGCCGATAGCCAGTCGCCAGGGGAACAAACAGTTGCTACTTGGGATCAAAATTCTGACCTTCTACTGATCCAAAATTCATTCTGATCATTCTGGGGGTTTCCATAAATGGGGGTACCTCAATGGCTGAATGGTTTACAGCGGCTTCATCACACGGGTTTCCTTGCTGATCCTGGGGGCAAGGTCCAGGCTATTGTCATCATGAGTAATTTCGATCATGATTCAGCATCATTGCTATGAGACAGTATTAACCAGTAGGGGTCATCTCAGACTTCTCCTGGTTAGTTTTGACCTAGCTGTGTGAGCCATGGTCAAAACTGGAAATTATCATCCACTACTGGCTGATGGCCATCCAATGTCTGGGACTTCTTGGAAGGTTTATCCAAACGCATTTGACATATCGGATTCGGGGGAAATGCTTTATTTTTGGGCCTTCCCGCCGATTTTTTATCATGGGGAAGTGAGTTCAATCATCGGGACCCTCATAGATCAAGCTGATCAAGCTTCCAGGTCACCGATTTCTGCGATGCTTTGTCTATGGCTCAAAACGATCACGGAGCCGAAGCACGGCGTGTGACCGGCCACAGACCAAATGTCTTGGGAACCTCCAACGCTGGGGCCCGCCCTTTGCGACGTCAAGCACAAACTCTTCCATCCCGTATTAGGGCTGAACTGACGAGACCAGGGATATAGTCTGGTTATTCTGGTTGGTGGTTTGGATCCATGGAATTTTATGACTTTCCCATCATATTGGGAATGTCATATTCCATGTCATCATCCCAACTGACGAATTCCATCATTTTTCGGAGGGGTAGGTCAGCCACCAACCCTAAGGGTCCGATATTGAAAAAAATCATTCTAAATATTGAAAAAGTACCGGTTTCAATATTGCATGTTTTCATGCCAAAAACAAAATCAAGATTTTGGATACAAACCTCTACACACAATAATGATTTTTTTGGCCAAAAATATTGTTTTTTTTGAAAAAATGGTGCAACAAGCAACATGACATAGGGCCATGCAATGAGCTCACTGGAGACAGGTCAGCAATGGACAATATGTGTATGGTAATTACTTGCATATTTGATGGCTGCTGCACCAGTGTTGGACCAGCAATGGGCCTTTGTCCTCTGAATGGAGTTACTTGCTGTGCATTTTTTGTGTCAAGTGCAGCATGCGGGTTGCCTGCCTCTGCTTCAGCAATGGCAGCAGCGACAGCTCTTGATGAACCTGAAGAAGATTCTGTCTCATTAGAAAAGCATCTTGGTGAGAGAAGAGATGCTGCCACGCTTCCTGATGGTTCTGACAGACCTTTGAAAAAATTGAAGGAATGCACCCATGACTCCAAGGATGGCATCAGATGGCTTCAAACTGCCAATGGCCCTATGATACCTTTTGTACTGAGAGCAAGCTCTGGCATTGTCCATTGTGGCCATGTGGAAATGCAGGTTTTGAGAAATGGACACATTCCTGAGGTTCTGTGCCTCACTGGCTGTGAGCCAGCTGGCCAGTGTCCATGCTATTGCCACTTGTTGCAAAGCTACTACAACCAAAGAACATAGTAGGGTTAAAAAGGTTGCAGCTTGCTGGTATGTTTGTGAAAGTGTTGGCAAAGTGTGGGACCAGCAATGGGCCCTGATGTTGGGAATCTGCAACAGAGCACAGCTTGCAAGGATTGTCTTTGCAAAATTTGTGCGCAGGCAGCATCTGGGGTCAAACCACCATGAGTAGAAAAACGAAAGGCACCAGGGGTGGTAGTAGAAACAAAGCAAAGGATGAAGTGGACATTGACCACCTTTGTGACTTGTGGCTTGACCTCCACGGGAAGAATTTTGATGTGTTTGGCAGCTTTGGTGAATACAAAGGACTTTGGGCTGAATGTGCAGCCAGACCTGACCTGGTTGAGCTGATTCCAATGGCACGGGTAATGTGCACTTGCAGCCCTTCTTTGATGATAGGCTACTCAGACCTCAAAGAAGCAGCCCTCATGACCATGAACAAAGACATCAGCACCAAGCCTTTGAAGGAAGAGACTGTGCAAGAATGCTCCAGGTTTGTTGCTGACAAGTTTGTGGTGGTCCAGAAACACTTCAGGGCCATCTCTTTGAACAAGGACTGGAAGAGCAAATTGAACATCCTGATGGGCAAGCTCTCTGTCAACAAGCAGAACAAGCTTCAGGAGTTTGTGGATCAGCTCCAGGAAGCATCAAAACAGAACACACCGTGTTCACCAAAGGCTTCTGCCAAGTCCCCCAAAGGGAGTGCCAGGTCCAGCTCTGCCATGCCTGTTGCAGATGAAGAAGCCACACTGCCTCTTTCTCAAGTATCACAAGATGATTATGGCCTGCCCAAACTCAGTGGGCTGGCAAGTGAAAGTGAAGCTGATGTGGAAGTGCCCAATTTGCCGGTGAGCAAGCAGGAAATCAGAAACTTCAAGTCTCAGAAAGGAGTGTCTCCCTTGAAAAGGCCTGCTTCCCAACTTCAACCTGGAAGTCAGTTTGCCAAAAAACCTGCAGCCAGAGCTGACAAGTTGAAAATTAAAAAGGAAGCTAAACCAACTTTCAAGAGGCCAGCTTCCAAGTTTCAATTGCCTGCAGGGAGCCCATTTGCAGCCATTTTTGGTTCCCAGCAAAGCTATATTTGCTTCAGAGAGGGTGGTTCAAAAAAGCTATGGGTTGCAATCTCTGCAAAGCAGTCTGCAAACCATGCAGCATTGATCAAGAAAATTTTGGAAATGAATCCTGCCAGCAAACAGCAGGCTTTGGACTTCAGGTCCCAAGTTTTGGAAGAGCAGCCATAAGCAACATTTCTGGGTGACAAAAAAGTGGGGGAGGAGTGGTCTGTTTTTGTGCTATACTTTTGCTGTCTTTTTCAATGGTGAACCAGTCAATTCTTTCACCAGCAGCAATTTGCCACCTGTTTTCTTTGTGTCTGCAGGGCCCACCTCACACTTGGCATGCAAGGGACCAGAAATTGGGCCCCCATTTGCTAAGTGAACATGTGTGTTTTGGTCCAGCTCTATGTTCTTGCTACCTTCTTGAATCTCTGAACTGGTTTATTCTTTCACCAGCAACTATTTGCATCTTTTTACTCAGGCTGCAGAGCCCACTTCATATGTGGCATGGAAGGGACCAGAAAGTGGGCCCACATTTCATTTGTGAAAATGTGCAATGATGATTTGGCACCATGCATTGAATAGGTGACACAGCTGCAGCCATGTGGCCCAAAAAAAATGGTGCCCAAAAAAGAAAAGAAAGGGGGCGACTAACAAATTCTGAAGAAGGCAGGAAATTCATCAGGGCTACTGCCAAGGCCAAATCCAAATTCGGTCCTCCTCTTGGCCCTTTGGAAACCATGTGGATTTCCACCATGCCTGAGAACAAGACCATGGAGATGGCACAAGGCCAAGCTTCTCTTTCTACAGCCTCAGCTTCGTCTTCTACAACCACTGCTGGTGGCCAAGCTATGCATACTACAGCTTCCTCTTCTACAAGCATGGCAGATGGCCAGGCTGTGCCTGTCACACCTTCCTCTTCCAGCTGCAGGGATGCCAACCCTTCTGGTCAATATGGTGCAGCAGTTGGACAACATGGGGGTGAAGGGCAAGGGTTGCAGCAGCTTCCAAAAGCTGAACAGAAACATACTGTAAAACAGTTTGGCTCTGGAATTATTTTTGGTGTCCATGACCCAGAAATCTGATCCAGCAGTGCAGGTGGTGGATCGTGAAAAAAATGCTGCAGCATGTGTCTGCCAGAAGTTTGTTGGGATCAGCACTGAACCTTTTGTAGTAACTAGTAGCTGCTGGTGGGACCAGAAATGTGCCCTACAAAGCAATTTATGTTGGACAGTGGGACCAGCAATGGGACCAGCAATGGGCCCTACAAAGCATGTGTTTTGTGTGCGCATGTCCTGTGGTTTCTGTGACAGTTTTGTTTCAAGCTGGCTGCAGCCAACATTGCCCACATTCACAACATATGTGCAGGTTCCAAAAGGTAAATTATTTTTCTTTAAAAACATGTTTATGGCAGTTTCTGGAAATAAACATGCACAAAACTGCACAAGTGCAATTGTTTCCACAGAAACACTTTCAGCACACACACACACATTTCTCACTATGGAAGCAAGCCCTTGCTACCCCATTGATGGACCCAGAGAATCCAATTCTCTTTGGGGGGTGGCAAAGCTGGAATGGGTGGTGCTGGTGGACTTGGACATTTTCCAGTGGATGGCAAGAATGGATCCCATGCTATGTGATGCTGTGCAATTTCTTTCCTTTGCCTGAGGACTTGGAGGGCACACCAGAAGGCCAAGCCATTGCTACAGTGAAAGTGCGAGTGCTCAGGAACCTTCATGAGCGTTATGTTGGACCACTTGGTGGCAGCATCTTCAAGCTGATGGTTGACCAGTTGGGGTACAAGGGCCTTCAGAAATCTGATTGGTACTACAACTCCATCCCTGTCTATGACATTGGCAACCAGCTAGCTGGATGAGACAGCAGTACAGCAGGCTGGAATGTGGTAAAAAGGAACTTGCTGCAACAAACTTGTGGGACCAGCAATGGGCCCTGTATGGCAACTTTGATTAACTAACTTTTGGCACACTCAGTAATGCATTTCTTTTACAAGCTGGTAGCTTTGGTTGGGACCAGCAATGGGCCCTTTGCCTGTGCAGAAAGCAGTGCAGGAATGACTTGTCACATGACAACTCATGACAACTCATTCCCTCACAACCTGTCACGTGACAACTCATGACAACTCATTCCCTCACAACCTGTCACGTGACAACTCATGACAACTCATTCCCTCACAACCTGTCACATGACAACTCATGACAACTCATTCCCTTGGTGCTTCAATGCAATTTTGGGTGAGAGGCAATTGGCTCGGAGTGATCGGCTTTGGAACTGGCTTTCTTTGGAGCAAGTTTTTTGAGCCATGAGGGCCTGCAAAAAAAGGCCTGCAGCTTCTGTGAAGGCCTTGCCCAACAAGAGGCCTACTCAGACATCCGCTCCTGCACATGCAGAAGGTGCTGAAAGTGAAGTTTTGGTTGAAGACCCTCCTGTCACCCCAAGTGAGTCTGCAACAGCTGCTGAAGCTCCAGGCGCTGAGTCTGCAACAGCTGAAGCTCCAGATGCTGTTGTGCCAGCAGCTGAGGCTGGGTCTGAAGAGAAGAAAGGGGATGAAGATAAGATGGACAAGGAGAAGGGGGAGGAGCAAGAGACAGAGAAGCCTGAGACTCAGATGGCAGGTGCCAACAAAGAGCCTCCACAGCCTGCCTTGGTCAAAGCCAAGGCCAAGAGCAAGCCCAAGGATGAAAATGAAAGTATAGAGCTCTCACCAGAAGTTTTGCTCAATTTGCAAAATGCAGAAGAGGAGGATGTTGAGAAGTTTTGGCTGAAGCTGTCTACAAGGCAGCAGCAACTGCTTTGGAAGAAATTCCAAAAGCAAAGGCAGGAAGAAGGAACAGAAGCTGCCTACAAACAGGCAACTTGTGGTGCAGGTATGAAAGCAAAAGCCAAGGGATTGGTCAAGCTGTGGCTGAAGCATGGGTCCACCAAGCACCCAGCTTTTGAGACCCATCTGGTTGAGCTGAGGAGCACTGAGAGCCATGTGGCCAAAGAGAAATGGGTTCCATTGGAAACCATCAAGCAGAAGTATGGCATCATGGAGCTCAAAGCAAGGTGCCTGGGAGGTTCAATCAAAATCAGGAAGTCAGCCAGCGACCCAAGATTTCCTGAGTTCCAAGACTTGACTGAGACCAAGGAGCTGAGGACAGATAAGATGAAGTCAAAGCAAGGTAGGGTTGAGTCAGGAATGTGCATGGGCAGACTTCAAAGCTTTGTCCAACATGGAGGTTCAAGGGCAAGTGGATTTGGAGTTCCTGAGTGAAGGTTCTGACGAAGAGGCTGCTGCTTCAGGGGATGAAGTGGAAGCTCAAGCTTTGGCTTTGAACATGCTGGAGCCCTGGAAGGAGAAGGAACTGGAAAGCAACAACAAGAAGGCACAGGATGCCTTGGCCAGCTTTGAGACAGCATCAGCCCTTGCTGATGAGGTTGAGCCACCTGCAGGATCAATCCTGAAGTGCCAGAAGAAAATCAAGAAGCACTTGCAGCAGCTGGCTGCTAAGTCGCAGAGGGAGCTGAAGGTAGAGATCAAAGAGAGAATCAAGGCCTTGGACGAAATCAAAGAGGATACACCTGTGGGGGTTGCAAAGAAAGCCTTAAATGCTGCAGCTGCCACTGGCAAGAGAGCCATGAAGGCAAAGGCCTGAAGACTTTGATCCAGAATCAAAGCTGCAACAGACTCTGAGCTTGCTCTGGGTACAAAAGTGTTGGGCGCTGTCAAGGACCAGCAATGGGCCTTTTTCTGCAAATTCCAGCTGCACATGTGATTCTGTCAATCTAGCAGCTTGTGGGACCAGAAATGGGCCCTGTTGTGCAATGGGTTGTGTTCAGTTCAGCTTGTGTTTTTTGCAGCTTAAAAAAACATTCCTCTTGCAAGCTGCAGCTGCCCATGTGCATTCTGTCAGTTTACACCCTCTGGGACCAGAAATGGGCCCTGCTGTGCAATAGAATGTGGTTAGTTCAGCCTGTGTTTGCTTGCAGCATGAAATGCCCAAAAGGAAAGCACCTGCTGATGATGGTGATGGCAATTCTCCAGTGTTCAGAGGAGGGAGGCACCAAAGAAAAGCAGCAGCTGATGCAAAAGCACAGAAAGAAAAAAAGGTAGAAGCCATTGCCACAATTGGTGGTGTGAGCCCATGTGTTTACAAGCTGTTGGAGCATTGGTCCTGGGGAAGTAGCAGTGCCTTGGAAATTTGTGACCTTGCCAGGTCTGTGAAAAACACATTCGGTGCAGTCCCACAGGATTTGAATGCCTTGGCAAGCTGTGGATCTTATGGGCACCAGCCATCCAACACACAAAGAGACTTGCTCAGGTTAGAGGCACTTCAGAATTTGAAGGCTCCTGACCCTTACTATGTGTCAGCTTGGGTGATTCAGAACCCAGGCACAAGACCAGTATTGGTGAAAGAAGATATAGCAATTTTCTTGCCACATGAATGGGGCCATGCTTTGTCTCAGCATGGGTTGCTGGATTGCACAGTGGGCGAAATGGCGGACATCAAGGAATTCTGGAAGCAAGTTTCAAATGAGGACCCCAAACTCTACAAAAACCCTGTTTTGAAAGAGAACAGAGAGAACTACATGCCATTTGTCTTGCATGCAGACAAAGGGCCCCATGCCAAGCAGGATTCTTTACACACTATCAGCATGTACAGCCTGATTGCCCAAGCAAGGAGGCTTGGGGTGGACGAAAGCAGCTTCATGCTGTGTGCTATTCCCAACAGTTGCTTAGTGACTACAAAGAAATGCAAGGATCTATCCTTGGCCAATGTGGAACCCACCATGGATACAATTGGCAAAGTCTTAGCATGGAGCTTCAAAGCTTGGTTTGCTGGCCTGCACCCTTTCACTGATGATTTTGGACATCCTTTGCTACAGGACAGGCTGGCCAAAGCAGGCCAAAGAATTTGCCAGAATGGTATGAGATGTATAATTTGGGCTTTGCCAGCAGATTGTGAGCACAACAGTGTAGAGTATGGGCTTCCAAACTACAACTCCAACAGCCCTTGCATGAGGTGCAAGTGCAACCGAAGTGATACACCCTGGAATGACTTCAACCACAATGCTGATTGGAGGTCCAAGCCTTATACAAAGCAGGAAGTGCATGATGAACCCATGACATCCCATTGGGTTCTTTCCATACCTGGAGTGAACCATTGGACTTTTGCATATGATTTCATGCACTGTGCAGACTTGGGGTTTTCTTCAGCATCAGTGGCAAATGTCTTCTATGATGTGGTTTACAAACACCTGCCTGGGAGAAAGAGGTCAGAAAAAATAGCACAGCTTCTAGACCTTGTGCACCAAGCCTATGATGACTTGGGAATCACAGAGGGCAGAATTTCAAAACTGGCACTGTCTCACTTTTGTGATGCTGATGCACCCCACCAGCATTACCCTGATTTGATGCATAGTGCAATCAAGGCGAAGCAAACAGCATATTTGGTGCCAGTGTGTCTTAAACTCTGTGAAAAATTCAATGATGGCTCAGATTATTGCATGTGGAGGCACAAATGCTTGAAGCACCTGTGTAATTTGTGCAAAATCAGTGAAGAGGCTGATCTTTTCTTCACCCATGAAGAATTTCGACAATATGATTCCAATGTCCACAAGTTTTTGCAATACTACAACAAGCTGAGCTACCACAGCTACAGCCTAGACAATGCAAGGGTTGGGCATTTTCAATGGGGCCAAATCCCAAAAATGCATTTCTTGTGCCATATTTCAGAAGATGCTCAGTTTTTGAACCCCAGAGCAGTATGGGCATACCCAGGAGAGCATTTGGTGGGCAATGCCACTAAGTTGGCTGCAGCTTGCTTGGCTGGGCTACAGCCTTACCAGGTTCCAAATACAATTTGTAAGAAGTACCAAATTGGGAAACATTTGCAATTTCAACAGCAGGCTTGAAAAAAGGAGTAGCCTGAACACTGCAAAAGCTTCATTTGCTGTGGAGGACCTGCAGCAGGGCCTTCTTGCGGTTCTTAAGTTCTGTTTGTTCTTGCTGGGGACCTGCAGAAGGGCCCATGCAATCACAGACAGTGCAATTTTTGATTTGAAAATATTGAAAAAGTAGGACCCCAAATATTGATTTATTTTTTCAATATTTTTAACTTCCTTTTCTTAAACCAAAAACAAGTTTTTTTTTCAAAAATATTGATTTTGCACTAAATATTGATTTTTTTCAATATCGGATCCTCTGGGAACCAGTGCTTGACATGGATGAAAGATCGGATGTAAAACCACCGATGGAACCTGTGAGCCCAAAGACAGGGTATACAACGACAACGACCATTTTGACAGAATTTCTATGGAATTTCTATGGATAATTTCATATATACAACGACAATTTCTATGGAATGGAGAAACTAAAAATCCATACGGGGCTTGGGGCATTGTTTTTTTAGGGCAAACGCCATCATGGCATGTCAAACGACCGCACCCAACATCAGAGTTTGAAAAGAGTTGGATCCATTATTCAAGACATATTCAAAGTTGAATAGGTCGGTGTATATGGATATTTCCGAAAATGGGGAAACCCCCAAATCATCCACATTTTACCATTTTAGATCATTTTAGCATTGAAACTCATTGTTTTGGGGACTCCTCAGTTTCAAGAACTCCATATATATATATAAATATAAATATATAGATATAGATAGATAGATAGATAGCTAGCTAGCTAGATAGATAGATAGATAGATTAGATAGATTAGATAGATAGATAGATAGATAGATAGATAGATAGATAGATAGATAGATAGATAGATAGATAGATATCCCACATATAGATATAGATATCCCATATATATATATATATATATATCAATATATATATATATAGTTGATGTACATAAAATGAAATTCATCAGTGTTCCACATGACTTGAGCCTCAACCACTTGCATCGCCTGGCGAGGAACCACTTGCAGGTTTCGAAGGCTGAGGCTGCGGGGGTAGTGCCAATGTCGATGCAACAAGCTTCAAGGTGGTGCCCCATAGTTAGCTAAGTTGGTGCAAATATCTCCAATAACTGTGGTTTATGGGGTAGATATATCGTAGATATATTGACATACTTACTATGGTGATAAACCAACCTGTAACTGGGGGGGGCACCACCTTGTTTGTACGGTGCGGGTGCTTAAAAGTTGGCCCGGTGCGGCCAAAGAATACACCTGGAGGCCTTCAGCATACACAAAGATGTGTGTTTACCATTGGTTTGTTGACAAAAAATTGGGAGGATATTCTCCATATGTTGAGCGTGTTTCAAAACAATTTTGCGTAACAGTGCCTTTCAACGCCTTTAGCATAATCCCAAATCAGTGATATCAGCACCCACTTGGCCTTTTGATAGTGGGAAAGGAACATGTTATCAAATGTGGTGGTATCCAATATGAAAAAACATATGTCAATATTTTAATTCTGGATCATCCCGCTATCCGTTCACCATTTGTTTTGGACCCCAATAGAATCAATCTTTCGCACAATCCACCAGTAAGGAAATGTGTCAACTAAAGTTTTACCATCAGAATATGTATATATTATTATATATATTATATATATATATATACACATATAGATCCTTTCACTGACCCCAAATAGCGTATACCCCACCAATAAGGAAATGGATCAATTGACCTTTTAGCATGATATTTGTTTCTATTCGCTGACCGCAAATAGGATCAAATGGGGTAAATAGGATCTGTAACATACCTGACAATACACCACCGGTGATGAAATGGATCAACTGACCTTTTACCATGAGAAAATGTATCCTTCTGCTAATCCCAAATATTGTAAATGGCATGTTTCACATATTTGACAAGACCTTGCCAATCAGGAAATGGGTAAATGTACCTTTATCATGGTAAATCACATTACTGTATATGATATTTTATTGGTCCTTAAGAATGCACATTCCTCCCCATTATATCCATTATATTGGGTCGATTATACCTTCATTAAGATTCATTTCCCAATAATATCCACAACTTCCGAGTCTAACCACCCCTTGGTCATTGCGCCAGTTTTCCATTTCGGCGTATGACAACACACCTCCATTTATAGCAAGCCCCGAAAAGATTTAGTCGAAGAAAATAGTCGAAGTCGAAATCCGGGAAAATCTGTGGAACATATCATTTAAACCATTCTTTTAGTCATCTTTTTGGAGGGTACCCTCCTGTAAACACGGCCATAGATCTGGAAAGCCCACCATGAATGTAGATCGCACCATAACTGGGTGATTTTGTGGCAAATGTTGGTTATTCCAGCACCATGGTTCGCATATGGAGGTGAGCACGGCCAAGACCAACTGCGAACGGGTGCGTATGGCTGCGGCGTTTGGGGAGCGGGTTTGGAGTCAGTGCCAATCACTGGCGTGCCCGCAGCCACCTCAATTGACAGTCGGATCCCCCGGACACAAAATGATTAGCATATTCGATCCAATACTTAAACGTTTGGGGTAGATGGGGGTTAGAAACTTTCGTGTTAATGTTTTCGGAGTATCCCCCAAAAATAATCTTTAGGAAGCCGTTCGAAATGACTCCGCACCAGCTTTGGCATCAGTGGGCTTATTCCATTTATAAGTGGGTTGTTGCCCCACTCACTAACCACTGACAGAAGTAAGTGGGATAAACCACAAACTAGGAAGGTCGGTGCTTGCACAGGTTACCCGACGGCTGGTGGTTCAAACCAAGCGCTGCAATTGAGTCAATTTGCACTGTGTGCCAGGGAGATTTTGGGATGTACCACAACTGATTGCTTGGGGGTGCATCCCAATTAGTAGGTGAGAGCCATAATCCAGTTGAAAAAACGGGTTATTTTTATGGGATATACAAGGGTCATTGGTCACTTACTAACTGGGATGCACATCCCAAGTGGCCATTTAGAGTTTGAATTCGTCAAACATCGCAGTTTGCAACAAGGACCGGGATAGGTTTTTTTTCCGCAACTGTGGGGAACCCATCCCCAAGACAACAGCCACCCGGCTTGTTTTTTTGGGGGCCCGTTGATCATTAGAGGTTTGCCGTGGTGATTTCTTTCATTATAGTCACGATTAAGTCACTATAGGTTCTCGAAATTCCCAGCACCGCATTGCAATCCATGGCAAAAGTGAAGAAGAAACTGAAGGCAGTTGGAGCTAAGAAGGCTTGGGAATTCAGTTGCGGCTGGGTTGGGAGATTACCATTTCTTGTTGCAGATGGAATCCATTTTCGAGACTGCCTGCCACCGAAGAATTCTTGGGTTCGCGTTGCAAAATTTCGAACCAGACACACACATGCTTGGATTTGCTGAAGATGATTTGTTTTTTTCCCAATAGGAAATCCAATACTTGGGGAATCTGTAGGGAATCTTGAAAGTTACTTAAGAAGCAAATCCAAGCATGTCCATACTCTTTTCAATCGGATTTTCCATTATAAACCACCCATATTTGGGTACCGCCATTAAGGAAACCCCCATATCATATTTTTAGGTGTGTATGAAATTGATTTGCGCTGACGGCGACCGCTTTTAGTTTGCTTCTCGCTCTAGACGTCACGGGGTTCACCCTTTCCTCATCAAATGATCTGTGTATAATCAGATGCCCCTAATTTTAGACAACCCCCCGCAAACCATGGTTTAGTAGGGAATAAGGACACACATTTGGGACCATAGAATTGAGATGTTCAATATTGTTGGGGGATGGGCTTCACCAAGAACATCGAAGAACTTTGTTTTTTTGATAATAACCTTTTGGTTCATGATGATTCATTACATTCTAGTTTGGGCCAGCTTTCATCCACTATATAATCACTATATCCTAGTTATTATCCATATTTATCCACATATTTTTACCAGCAACCAGCCCCGCAGTATGGTGGTTGCGTGTGACCGCGTGACCCGGTGTGACCCGGTGGCCCAGGGCAAGGTCAAAAAGAAGGTGAAGGACGCATCAAATGTGGCTGTAAAATCCCGCTCAATGAAAAGCAAACATCTACTTCTAAGGGAGGTTTTCAACTTCTACGTTTGACCAGCGGAGGGTCTATGTTAAATTTATATGAAACTGCCAAGTTTCATTATATCACATACCCTCTGGTAAACTAACGTAACTGTGGAAAATCACCAGGTAAATTGACTATAAATGGGCCATTTTCAATAGCTATGTCAAATTACCAGAGGGTAAATGATAATCGTGGGAATCCCGATGGCATCCGATGAAAGTGACCAGAATTTCGAAATCCCCCAGTTTCTTCCCTGGCGCACCTCCAGTCTGCAATAGAATAGCATCATAGAAAAATCATCGCATGACAGCACTTGGAGCATCCCACTTCGTAAGTTAGTAAATGTTAGTACCCGATTTTCGTAAGCCTAGTAGGTCCCCATTCAGTGGCTTAAATTCAGTTATTCTCCCATCAAAATGGGTTATCCTCTGGTTATTTAACATAGCCATGGAAAATGGCCCATTTATAGATGATGTTCCCATTAAAACCTCCATTTATGAGGGATTTTCCATGGCTATGTTAAATAACCAGATGGTATAACTATGGTTACACTCACCAGTTACGATCCGTGTGATGATCCTCCAAGCGACCGCTTGCGACCGGAGGAAAGGTTGCCATCTTTGAGAGAGTGGCTGGCAGAACAAGGCACAACGCTTCTCAACAAAATGGCACTGATGTTTCAAGAAAAAGCCCCAGTTCACCGAAATGGATAGAGCGTATTTTTGTTGGTCAGAAAATTATGACATACTAGTCATAGGTTTAAACACATTTCAATACAGTCAATACAGTTCTGATGATTGATGTTTTATTTGATAGTGTAATATGCCTTTCATAGTTCATTTCATAATATGTATACTATGATATCATATATATATATATGTATAATGTATATATATATATATAATATCGAACGTGATATATATATATACTACTATATTGTATTGTATATTGTATCATATTATGTCATATTATGTTATATTATATTATGTTATATTGTTACATTATATTACATTATATTACATTATATCATATTGTATTATATATATATACACAGTATAGATATATACTGTATATAAATGTGCATTTGTATTGTCTGGTACAGTTCCAAGCTGAGTTCATACATGTTCATACAAGGTGGCGTCCATCTTAGATGGGGAAGCGCGTTGATAACTTCAATAACTATGGTTTACTGTAGATGGTGTTAATAAAGTAGCTATTTGGTGTTAATTGGGTTTATACACCGACAAATGTCATGATGAAGTTTAATATAGAAATTTTATACAATCGTAATTTTGTAGTGATATTCGGTACCCATCAACCAATACCCATAGGATCCATGTATGCTATATATGGTAACATTTGCCATCAGTATACCCCAAATGTTAGCATATATACCATACATGGATCCTATGGGATATAGCAATCTGCTGACTCGGTTTTGAACCATGGTTTATCACTAGAAATAGCATCACCGGATGTCCTGACTAGGCGCTGAAGGCCTTGAGAACTTGGAAGTGCGAGCGTTGCACGAAGGAAGGGGTCAGAGATACGGCTGGGTGGTGTTGGGCTAGCCATGGCCATGGCTAATTTCGTTGATTTATTGAAGAAATGGTGATTTTACAGTTCGCAAACAGTTCGTTTACCAGAGGGTGAATGGGATTTAAGGGTTTATAAATCTAACATCTATATATGTATACATACATATATATATGATGTTTTTACATTTTGATATAGTCCATCAGCAGCAAGCCTGGGGGGCAGTTGTGGTTAGTTTCGTGGCTATAACCGTGGGATTTGAAGCCCCCGTAAGTTGGGATATAACATGAGATAACCCTCAAAAGACTGTGGTCGCCACTACTTATGAGTAGAGGATGGTCATCAATCCAATTTCAGGACCGGGTTCATATACCCGGTTTTTCAGGATTCCCACATACTGGGATGGAATACTCAAACCAATGTACAATTCTTTGACCATGGCACATAGAACCACATGCAACATATGGGGGGAATACCACCCAAATAAACATGTTTCTGGGGAAAATCACCGTACTTTTTTCTGACCATCCCACGGATAAGTGGCTAATAACCATGTTTATAACGCATCTAACCCATCTATCGATGGGATAACCCTAGGGGAATTCTGGGATGATTTTCCAAGATCTTCCTGGAGGCCATAGCTGCCATAGCTATGTTCGATTACCAGAGGGTCTGGCTGGACGACGCGCATGAGGTTTATCCCTATTGAATCACCAGTTTTCTTGGGTAAGCACCAACCAGTTGCAAAGGTCTTCCTAATTTTTTTCGTGGTTCCATCACTTTTTTTCTTGCCGCTGGTCACTGGCTATGCGCGGCCCAGGACTGGAAAGCCCTCAGGCTGCCTTCCTGACGAAAGACGTGGAGAAAAATGAGGCGAAGATGTTGAAGTTGGACGTGGATTTTTTTCATCGCAACGTTGCGCTAGAAATGCACTATGTATCTGGGTAAATAATAACGACCTCACTGCGACCTCACTGGAATCATGGTTAGGATTCGGGAAATCATCCCCAAATGGCCTCAATTCAGGTTAGTGAAATATTGTAATTTACCCAGATGTATACTATTGGGTAAAAAAAGGGATATCGCACTATAAATATCGCACTGAATGGGGGTTGGGGTATATCTCAAATTTTATACCTTGCATAAAAATATCATGATATATCCCAGTTAGTTGAGTTAGTCACAGTTAGTCGGGGTTATAGTAACCAAGAAACAAAACTGAGGAGCATTACCTTATATCTTCACCTTTAAAAAAAAAACATCAAGCGCTGTGCTTGCGGTTCCATGTGCTGCCAGGTGATTCTGCGGCTTCCAGCGGAGTGCCTTTTGGATGCGGAGAAAGCGCTGAACGACGAGGTGAGCTTTTCGATAAGCTCAGCAGTGTTGAACCCCCCTGTTGGTTCATGATTATAGGGGATTATATCATATTATATCACAATCGAATCCCATTAATCCATTAAATTATATCTCATTAAGTCACCATTTTTGTAGGGGATTATAAATTACTACCCAATAGATTGGGGATGTTTTTCATAATCCAGTAGGAGAATCCCAAAATCCCATTTTTAACCACCGGTTTTTCATGGAATGACAGATGGTTTATGAAACTCATAGATCTGTATACAGAGATGTAAAGACACACACAACATATTAATGTATCTCATATTAAAAACTATACAACCACAAATAACGAATATGTATTATAGATTATATATGTGTGATTATAAATATATTTATATATATTATATATGATTATTTCAGCCAACAGTGGTTCTTGGATAATGACCACCGTTTCAGGTTCTCTGCAAGGCACGCGAACAACTGCAGCGTTGGAAGTCGGAAGCTTCCATGGCTTTTTTCGTGTGCGACGCGGCTGAGAGCATAAAGAACAGGTATGCAAACATCCCAGGGATATCATGAAGATATTCAGGGGATATTAGGGCATGATGATATTAATGGGATAAAATGGGCTCTAATTCTATAACCAACAAAAATGGATGACATCAACCGTGATGGGTATAAGGTATATGATGATGGATATATTAATGGACTGTAAATGACATTATGATCCTTTCTGTATTATTGCGACACTAATGGAATATAGTATAAACTATATTTGGATGTGATTGAAATTGTGGTACGCCAAAAAATGCAATATGATAATAAAAACTTAACACGATGGTACATACAGTAAAACCATTGGATTTTAGGCACCCTGCAAACCCAGCCCAGACCAGTGCAGAACCTCTTGCATGCATTCTCGGCATGTTGCCAATACATTTTTCCCCCGCCAGACCATGCAAATGGCAAGGCCGCGCCGCGCGACATTGTTTTTGGTTTGTCAGCTGTGTGAGTGCATGTATTGAAATTCAACAGGTGCATGTTCGACGCGCCTCATATCGCAGCAATTTTGTAACCAAAGGCCTGCACGCGCGTTGTCTCTTACTAAAGCTCCCTGGTCCCTGTCAACGGCATGTTGGACGGCATATTGCGAACAAACCTTGGCCGCTACAAAACCTGTAGGAGCAACAACGAAGACTTCGAGAGCTTGGAGCAAACAGTTGGCTGCTATATTGAATACCCATTCCCAAGCTCACAAAACTTAGGAGGCACTGAATACTTATTATATGTTCCAGTAATGGCATGCTGATTATACATATTGTATATTTTGTGGTAAGGATAATAAAAATCAGAAAAATAAAGATAAGAAAAAATCAGAATTTCATTATGTACAATACATTATGTGATTTCTCACCAGTATGATGGTACTGCAAATAAAAGTTGAATGGTGAAATATATTTTGTTTAAATTGGATATCCATTTACATAAACAAAAGTAATAATACTATTTAATGGTACCAGCATGTTGTTCACACAATGTTTATCTAGAAATGTAATATATACATATTTTTTGACATTATATACAAATATATATATATAGATATAGATATGTGATATGTGAACATAAATTTCATATATTGTCTCAATATGAATATAGATATATCAACACATAAATGAACAATTATATGATTAATATCTATCTATACCTGGGATGCTCCATGTATGGTGTATTTACCCACATTTAAGGATGAATCTTGAAGTAATGTTGGTAACTATTACATAAACATGCAACATATGAGTAATTGACATGCCGAATTTGTTTGTTCATCAAATGATATTGTGTTTTCCAGTAATGGCATGATGATTTACCCTCTGGTAATTTAACATAGCTATTGAAAATGGCCAGTTATAGTGGATTTTCCCATTAAAAATGGAGATTTTCCATAGTTATGTTAGTTTACCAGAGGGTAATGTGGTAATGGTAAACCCAATAGTAAGCTCAAAATCATCATGAAACTCTTCGGGCGTTGCCACGGCCCAAGGCCTACGGCTTCTGCGTGCCACCCACCGTTCGGATCCGTGGTGTTCTCTGGCGACTCTTTGCACTTCGAGCACAACCGGAGCAGGGCGGTGGTCAGAGGTGCCACTAGGGGCATAGGAAAATGGTGATTTCATCGGGTTTTATAGGAAATAATCTTGTTGATTGGTTATTAAAGATACCCTGTTTGAATTCATGGGTTTTTATATGATTTAATAGGATCATCATGATCTGTAGGGAATCATATAATTTGTTGATTGGTTGTGAGATGGGAATTACAGTATACTGCCTGGGTCACTGTTTTTTTCTGAACTAACCCATATGAATAGGAAACCTATCATCCCTGTACAACATAAAGGGCTAGGGGTAACTTTAACGGTTCAAATGTAACTGTGAAATTTCGTCGGGAAATTTGGTTATTGATGAAAATTTAAATGGATATAACGATATCCTTACTTGGTTGTGCCCCATAGCAAATTTGTTTAACCACGATTTATGGTGGATATTTCTATAGTGAAATAAGGTTATAAACCAACTTATGTAGTAGTGGCCAGAGCACAGATCAATTGCCAAATTTGGTAATCTTAGTTCTTTTTTGGGTTTGATATTTGGCTGACTTTGGATTTATCGTTTGATAAATAGATCAGTTTACCCACATTCACCTGTTCTTGTCGCTCATTCCATGGTTGATTTCCAGCAGTGGGAATTTTCCCAGCAGAAGAGGGGTCAGCCATACAGGGCGAAACTTGGTGAATGGTTGTATTCTCCTGTGGTGAATGTTTGTCGGACATGGAGGAAATAGATGTTCTGGTTGGTGGTTTGGAACATGTCTTCCATATATTGGTAATAGTAATCTCAACTGACTAATATGTTTCAGAGGGATTCAAACCACCAACCAGTGTTTGTCTTCATTTGGGATCATTTGAAGAGTTTAATAGGAAAAAGGAGGATTGGTACCATCACATTTTCAGGCACCCATATTTTTAGACACGTATCCGTTTTGCAAAGAATCCCCGATTTTTAGACAAACCCATTTTGCAAAGAGTATCCGAAGTTGGCCTTGACCAAGGGGTGGAATGCATGAAACAACACCAATGATTTCTTTTATTGCAACTTCAAATGTTCGCAGATGGAAAATTCCAATGCTTTGCCGATAGATTTGTTATTGAAATTCTCCATCATCAACTCATCGAACGCACTTGTGATACAAAAAAACCATGTCTGTGGAGGCGTTCCAGAGCATGATGGCGAAAACCAGCTTGAAACTTGGCCCATCGATGATGGATAATCCATGAGAAATCCATAAGAATCCTTGCCGCCCAAAGAATAAACGGCTGGAAGAAGCCGAAGGGATGAAGCCGATGGTGCAACTAAAAAAGGTGGGTATCTACTAAGCGATTTCAATAGTAAAATCATGGAATATCTACTGTACTGGTATTCTACTGTTGATATCTACTAAACAACTAGCATTTGTTCATATTTTGTGTATCTAAGATTGGCAATGAGATATCATCAGTTTGCGAGACCGGTCACATCTTGCAGAGATATTCTCAAGAGCGCAGTTCAATCTGTAGCGTCGGATGAAAGCTATGCGTATCATGACTGGATGATCATCGCAGACAAGTGATCATCGCACAATGAGGGTCGTGCGAAGCCAACTTGTGAAACGTTTGATTCGAGGCAATCCCATCTTGTTCCCATGACATATTTCCTTCATATTCCCAGAAAATGGTAGGATTATATTTCAATATGAAAACATTTCATTTACAATATAGGTAGGATATATTGGAAACATCTTATTCCCAGAAAATAGTACCTTCATATTTCAATAAACATATTCCACCTATATCATCCCCAACCTTGGATGAGTAGGATTGACCAACATATTCCCTGCTGCATTGGGGGGCGAGGTGAGTTTCATCCCCATAAAATGGCTCATGGTTTACCAAAGGTGATATAAAGGTGATTAAACCACTATAGTGATTAAAAGTGATTAATAGTGATTAATGGTGATTAATAGTGATTAGTGGTGACTAATAGTGATTAATAGTGATTAAAAAAGTGATTAATAGTGATTAATAGTGATTAATAGCGATTAAAAAAGTGATTAATGAAATGGTTTACCTTTCTTGTGTCATTGGATTGGTTTTCACGGGAAAACCTTAACCGGAAACCTTGGATTTTACTATTAAGATCATGGGGGTTTCCGGTATCAATTTTCCCGTAAACCAATCCAATGATTGTGGAAGCTCAAAGCTACATTGAAAATTGCCATGATCGTTTCTGGTCAAACTCGCTATGATTCGTGGTTTAGCAGAAACGCGACTTGATGAGCTGGTCAATCCATATAGGAATACTATGGAGGTTTCCCAAGATGGGGGTGCCCCCAGTTCTCATCCATGGATTTTCCATCACAGTCTGCATTTTTGGTGGTTTCCACAGTGGAAACCACCACGGTCGATGTCCGGTCGAAACCAACCCAACGGGACGATGATGATGATGTGAATATCATGTTCTTCTGCTGGCTTTGCCGACGAGATTTGCCATGAACATGTGGGATTTGCCATGATGATCATTTAATGATCATTTGTCGAAAAAAAACTAAAATAGAAATGGAAATTCCATCATATTTGGATCATTTCCTGGGAAAGAAACTCATGGATTTCTATATTTCTATCCCAAATCTTGATGGTTAAGTCAAGGAAACAACTGATGACTGATTTCCGTAGCCATGGTCAAAAGTTGGATTACACAGCCATGTTGGGGGATGGTCATACCACCATTTGCCGGGTTAGTCATGATGGAAAATTGTGTAAGAATTCACAATAAGCCATAGTTTGATGACTCTAGCCCATATTATATCCACATGCTTGGTACATATCCATCAAGATATCCCCATGATATCCATTATTTTCGATGTAATCCCAGATATTCCCATATATTTCCCATAAACATACACCATATATTCACGATGTATTCACCATAAAATCTCCATTTCACCATATGTTTCCCATATTCACCATGTATTCACCATGTATTTCTGATACATTCACCACAATTTCTCCATAAATTCACCAACAAAAACCATGGCGAGACCGGCGCAGCGCTGCTAGGAAGGAGCACCTCGATGCCTCCCAGAGAGAATTGAAGACCTGGCACAGCGCGCTGCAACGCTTGGTGAAAGAAGGCGATCCTTGAAGTTGACGAGTGATGAATGGTGATTCAACTTTTATAAGGTGATTCAACCACTATAATGATTAATGGTGATTAATAGTGATTATAATCGTGATTAATGACGATATTTGTGGTGATTCATGGTGATGGAACATAGTGATTAATTAGTGGTGATTAATGGTGATTAAACATATAGTTAGTAGATGTTAGTAATATGAATATTGAAAACCGGTAATAAGATTGTGCAGATATATCGAACTAGTTCATGTGGGATAAAAACCAACAAACATGGCTGAGGATCACTACTATTGAAGTGTTCATACCTGGTGAGGCATTACCGTTGATAAGGGTCAATTTATCCCAGTCTTGATGTACAATTGAGAGGAAATAGAACACAACTGGGAGACATGGAACAAGAGGCCACCTATGACCCACTTATGAGCTGCAGGAAGACGTCCCACCTAAAAATAATGCGCCATGAAACCGGTGATTAAAACAGCAAGAAGAATGAGATACGGAAAACAACAGTGATTTTGGTGGTTTCCTAAAATGGGGGACCCCAAGTTCTCATCATGATGGGAAACCGATGGTGGAAAGGGGTACCCCTACTTTAGGAAACGCCAGTTTGGGTGGAACCATTGAAAATAAACCATTAAAAACAATCAACAGAAGTAGGTTTTGGGAGGCGGAACTAACCACTTGGGATACTGCTGAGTCCTGGTTTAGTATCAAACTAAGAACTAGGAACAGGAACGTCGTGTGGTGCCCTGCCTTATAAAGAAATGTTGCTTCATAAGCCCCAGTAACTGATTGCCGGCCAATTCAGGTCGACCCTCACCAAAGACCACTTGGGAATAGTGTGGTAACACATAATAGTACTGTAAGACTTTTCATGGTTCTCAACAAGCAGAACACTCGCCAAAATATGCCAGAATTTTCTCATAATTCACAAACTTGCTTGACCACGAGCCATTTTGAGACGTTGAATGATCATATATGGATATATATGGAGATGTCCTAAAATAGGGGACCTCCAAAAATGGATGGTTTGTAATGGAAAATCCTATTAGAATAGATGATTTAGGGTTACCCCTATGTTAGGAAACCTCCATATGGCACCTGGTTAACCCTCAACAAACCAAGAGTAGTCACTGGTGATCACCGAGTCGAAGCTTCACTTCTCACCAGATGCTACAAGGTGGCACACATGGTTTCCCCATGATTGGTTAGTAAAAGTGCCAATGTTTGAAGGTACTTGTAGGTCAACTGAATAAACATGTACCCTCTGGTGTCATCAAACGTTGCAACTTCCAGCAAACCATGTCCGATTACTAGGCTTCGATTGCAACTTCACCCTCGAGTCTTTGGGCTTGGCTCGTGACTTTTGGTATGCCAACAGCTGGTCTGGGAAAGTCCTTCCCTGGTACAGCTGGCTGGTTCAGCCAGCTTCGACCAATGTCTCCCTGCAACCTGGCTATTGGTTGGTGGTTTCCTGGAAAGTTTTGGGTGATTTTTCAGTGCCAGGGTCAAGTTCCGTGGTTGATTTTCCAAAAACTGAAAAAACGGTCATCCCCCATTTTCACAGGGGTTATATAATGTAACCATTGGGGAATCCCAATGGTGGGATGAACATGACAACGTCGCATTTGTCTTGTTTGAATTCCATCCGATTTCAGAGTCAGAACTTTGCCGGAGCGACTTGGCATTATTTTTGAGGTGTTTATGCATCATGCTCTGTCACTACGAACTCAAGCTGACTGTACTACTTTTCGCAAGGGGACGTTCATGAATGACTAAAGATATGATAATAAAAGTAGTTGGTGCCCCCCAAGTTCTGTATGTTGGTTTAAAACCGCAATGAACTGGTTCGATATATACTTATATATATATATTTAAAAGTAATTAGTATTATAGTGTTGTAGTATTATGTGTATATATATACACTATGTATTATATATATTAGATATGTTTTATGTCTAACATATATTCAATGGGAATTTCAGGATCCTAAAATGGAGGTACCTACCATATATAAGGCCTATATAAGGCCTATGTAAGCGAATATAACCACAAAATATGGCCTTATATGGTACAGTACCTCCATTTTAGGATCCTGAAATTCCCATTGATATATATATATATATATATGTATATATATATATATATATGTATATATATATGTATATATATATATATATGTATATATATATGTATATATATACATAGCTGTTTATTGTATACATATTTTCTGTTTATATTCTGTGCATCGTTATTATTATTATTATTATATATATATATATAGTTGGTTATATATATATAAATTATTATATATATATATATGTATATGTATGTGTGTTATGTTATATTATATAGTTTTGTTTCAATATATATATGTTTACTGTTGAAAAATATTTGATATTGCATATAATTTTATATATTAAATAATGTATTAATATATTATATTACTCTTTTAAATTATATTACAATATATTACATTATATTACATTATATATTTTGTTATATTACATTATTTTACATTATATTACATTATATTGTATCATATTATAACATTTATATATATAAATATTTTAATGAATATACTGTATATATACATATACATTTAATAACACACACACATATATATATATTATACATATTGATGTATATAGCTGTACCTAATGGGGTTAACAACTAAGCCAGCTGAGATGACGGACAGCAGCCTCTCAATGCAGGAATGATGCATACGAACTCGTGGCTCTGACCCCGATCAAGGCGGATTGGAACCGATGGCATTTGGGGCTGTCCGAGGTTTCAGGGCGAGTGATATAATTCTATAATATAACTATATTCATATAATGATATATAAGGTTTATTAATTATATATACTATTAGGATAATTATAACTATAGTGATGCTTATATAATAATGATGTTTATAACCCTATGAAAGTTCTAATTATATTCCCCTTAAAAACCATAGAATTCACCGATTTTTGCCTCAACTTGCCTTGCTATCGTGAACTGGGGGCCTCGCCTTGCGGGCACGCCCCAAGTTGTCATCCTAAATGAGTATCTCGGTTGCTTTTAAAAGGGGAACTTTTGAGGTCGGGGACTATGACTCGAGAAAGAGGTAATTATTTGTGATGCAAGATGTGTATGTTGAGAAGGAACATGAAGAAATCCTTTCTCGTAATAGTTAAATCGACTTAAATAGTGTTTCTCATACTACCCATTAGTGATACCACAATTAGTAATACATTAATTAGGGAGACGTTTGATTCATCCACATACTGGAAGTTATGTAGCTTAGACTAGCAGTTCTGCGGGTGGTCTTTGAACATGTCATTGAGATACTATTTTAATAAGCAGTTTGAGGTGGAATCTGGGTAATCAGCGATGTTTGTCAACCTGAAGGACAATTATCAGACATTGAACATTCATTGATGATTAGCAAGTCAATCATACATTTACATGGATAATGATGAGTAGGATCATTGTCAACTACCATCATTATCTATTGAAATGCTCGCTACTATCCTGTCATGATTATCAATGCACATTACTATCATGAATAGCTAGTGATCAATCCATATTGATGTTCTCCAATCGTTAACAATCTATAATGATCATCAAACATATATTCTACAAACACGCTGTCAGTTCATTGTCGTGATTCAAAGACAATGTTACTCCATATAATTTACAGCCCCCCAATCATGGGACCCCCATTTCCATCATTTTCCGGGGCAATCATCAATATTCATACTTATAGTTTTAAATCATTTTTATTTATATATCATCAAACATAAACAGTAATAATAATCATAGATTTGTCAACCATGTTGTCACCATTAAAATAGATAATGATCAATGATCGGCCGATGACCCGTACTCGTACTTGGGATCGGCCATGGTCCAGGCGGGAACCCAGCTTTCTCTGGATGCCAGCCTTGACAACACCCAGCTGCTGCCACCCGTTGCTGCAATGGGCAGGTGATTGCAGAATATGAATAATTACCCTCTGGTTATTTAACATAGCCATGGAAAACCCCTCATAAATGGAGGTTTTAATGGGAAAAACATCTATATATGGGCCATTTTCCATGGCTATGTTAAATAACAAGAGGGTAGATAGATTGATCAATGTACATAGTTATAACGCTGTATAACTGATAACATTCACACTTAGCAAGTAATTACTGTTGAACAACTCCGGATTGACAAGCAACCCCTGATCAATATGGTACACGTCTTGAATCGTTTTGATTGGAAACATCACTTTTTGGGAGGACCCTCATTCCCGAAACAGTGTGGCCACACTGAGGGGTTCTTACGGTAACAGTTAAGGCCTGGTGTTCAATCGAGGTGGTATCGGAAGCGTCCGGCGGCTTTTTCCCCACAAAATTGCTGTTGTGACATGTCCATGTGCATTTCGACTGCGCAGGCTCGCACAAAATGGGTGTCGCGGGATACGGGTCCGGCATTTTCCCTGTAATTTTCTAGACAAAATGGCTCTTGTGAAATGTTCATGTGTATTTCGACTGCGCAGGCTCGCACATCATCATCATCATCATCATCATCATCATCATCGTCATCGTCATCGTCATCGTCATCGTCATCGTCATCGTCATCACCGCCATCATCGTCAGCATCATCAACATTACCATCATCATCAACATCATAGTACATTCGCCCACGCTGTTTGGGGTCTCTTGCCTGGATAATCGATTCGGGAGTGTGACTCCTGGTTGACAACATTCAAGTCGCAGGAAGTTGACACACCCTTTGAATCTCAAATGGCAGCCCAACACCAGCCACGTTCCATGCGGGGGTATCATCTGCGGCAACTTCGCAACCAGATTCCTATCTGGAAGTTTGTCCAATTATATTTAGGGCCGCAGTTGAGGTTTACAAATTGGTATAACCGTGGTTGTAAACCCCCATAAATTCGGAGTCAACCCGCATAAGTATGTATATATATAATATATATATATATACATATTGTATATATATATATATATATGTTATCTATCAGTAAATATCCGCTTCAAACCGGAACTGCACTTTCAAGCAAACCATTCCCCATAATGAACCACCTGAATATTGAAGATTTTTTCATGGCACATTGAAGGCTTAGTACATCTTATTATGAGTTCATTGACCACAAACCACCACAAATAAGGGCTCATTCACATTCACTAATCATTTGTCATTCCGGGCGGTCTCACCTTTGTCAGGGTTGAATCCCGATGATAAAGTGACCCCACATGTTTGTTGATAGGGTTGGCGTACCCGTGGACATTGAATTCCGTTGCTGAATTTGGTAAATCCTGAACATGAGATTGTCCACATTATACCTTCTTGTAAAGAAATTGTTCACCTTAATGGACATTGGAATTCACCATAAAGCTCCACCCTCCCCAAAATGCTTCAGACCTAGATATGAGCCGACTTTCCAATGGCCATCTCAGCAGAGGTTAAGACATGGTGTGGTGTTGAGCGAGAATTTGAAGGATGAGATCCAGCTGAAGTTGCTGACGCCCGAAAGTGGCTGGGACAAGGAATTCCAGGATATTCGAGGGGATGGGGGACAATATGCGCAGATATGTCTAGTATGTCAGGGTCAAAAGGGATTGGACATTCTTACCCATGCTCATATTAGGGCCTATCTATTCCCATTTGGATCATTTAGTTGATAACATTTTTTGATTCAAAGATGAACACGGGACCAACAACAATAATGACCCAATGAATCCAAATCGCCCGGACAAAAAAAATATACTTGGCAATCCTTGAAGTCCCAACTTTGGTTGAAACGATCCAGCTCAATGGAATCCAAATGACGATATCAAACCAATTGGGATCTCACATCAAATATACATGGTGATACGAAGGATAGAACCAACATGATGATCAATTTTTATTGGCAAAGAATGCCAATATGCGGTTTCCTAAAATGGGGCTACCCAGTCACTATGGGTTTCAATACTAGAATGATCATCCATAACTTGGATGATTTGTGGTACGCCTATTTTAGAAAACAATCCTATTTGTGTTATTTCCTGCACAGTTTTAGCTGACGGTGCCCGGGGTTGGGTTCCCCACCTTCAATGTGAAAGGGGGGCCTAAGGGGTGCCAGGATTTTCGAAGGAGTTAATAGAGGATAAGGATCATCCAACTTACCCTCTGGTGAACTAACATAGCAATGGAAAATGGCCATTGAAATAGTGGATTTTCCCATGAAAAATGGTGGATCTTTCCATTGCTATGTTAGTTCACCAGAGGGTAGTACCTTCTGGTTGCTTAAGAGTTTGGGAACTAGTATAGATTGATTTAACTCTGCCCATTGAGTCCGATATGATAAAATCCATGATTTTTCAACATGGTGATTTCCCATAGCTACGTTAAATTACCTGGTTGTTAACCCTGGTTCATTTGCGTCCCCATTTCCTGGGCTTATCTTATGTACAAGTGGGGAAACTAAGCCACTAACCAGTTAGGATCCGGTAGGGGTGAAAGACCAAGTACCGCTAGGGTAGTGTTTCGCCTGAGATGTCCTGTTCTAAAAGTGGTGCTACCCCCTGAATCATCCATTGTGGTTGGGTCTTCCATGGTTTTCCATGGTTTACACCATCCATTTTGTTGGTACACCTATTTTCAGCCCAAATTTGTTGGCAAAACCTGGCATGGCGGCATGACGCTAAGTCGAGTATTCAATGTATGCTACCCATGAGGTTGATGATGGTCACTGCCATGGCTGCCATGACCTGTGGATTGGATAACCTGGGGGAGACCCCACTGGGATCACTGGGGTCCGGGGCGATCGCTTCTGGTTGTTTAACACAACTTGCTACCAAAAATTGCCCATCTATAGATGATGAAAATCATGATTTAGCTATTAAGGCTATTAAACATAAATGATGATTGATGTGTCGAATTTTACCACTGTCTGACACGTCACCATTTGAATTAGGTTTGACCAAAGGTTTCGCCACTTGACTTGTGGCTCAAGGCCCTACCGCTAAAACAGAGGCGCGTGCTGTTCATCCATGGGCTTCCAGCTGTTTCGTCAGTTGGTATCCGGAGCTTGGTTGCTATGAATAGCGGCTTGGACTCGCTAGATGGCGAGGAGCAACTGGAAGCCGAGGGTGGAACCACGAGCCAAGTCGATGGCGGACAGGAGTCATGGCAGGGGAGTGATTGGGAATCTGGCTGGAGTGGATGGGGCTGGTATCCGTACTGGCGCTGGGGCACTCATAGCTGGAATAGAACCTATGTCACTGGCTATACCGGTGCTGGTAGTAATGACTCTAGCAATGGGAGTAGTAGTCAACGAACCAACACTGACATGGCTCCTGACACGACAGCTCAGCAGGTTGGACAGACCGAACCGCAACAGGTACCACCAACCACTGCGGCTGCGACTCCGACTACCAGTGGAACAACAACAGACCCCTGGGCAAGCTGGGATCCTTGGCAATCCTCGTGGAATTCGCGTGGGACCTGGCAGAGCTCATGGGATGATCCTTGGCGCCAAAGCTCAAAACCAGACTTCACAGATCCACCGTCCTGGCCGGGATGGAACCATAGGAAGTACTGGATCTTGGCAGTTCGAAGGTGGGACAAAACCACTGACTTTCCTGTGCACAAGCGTGCAGATCGGGTGCTTCGCATCCTCGGCTGGGAGATGCAGCCGGATTTTGAGCACATTGGCGAAGAAACCTTGTCTTCTCCAGGGTATCTTGACGCCATCCTGGAGGTGATCAACAACAAAGCGGGCGTGCGCTCCGATGACGAGAAGCGCAAGGCATTCAGATCCATCATGGTGGAGGGCAATCGTCGCAAAGACGAAACCTTGGCACAGTATGCCGTGCGGAAGCAGCGAGACTTTGCTCAGGCAGCAGCGTTTGGAGTGGCTATTCCTTCAGAACTTCGAGCAGCAATGATGCGGGAAGGAGCCAACTTGAACGAGCAGAATCACCAAAACATGGTGGCTCTACTCCAAGGAAGAGAAGATGAACCAGATCAAGTGGCTCGCGTGCTGGGCAGACTAGACATCCGATCAGATCGCCTTTCAGGTTTTGTGGAAGATCAAGCCGGGAGCTCGACCTTCATGTCGGAGGAGTTCGAGGCCCCTGACGAGACCTTCGGCGAGGAGATTGACGATGAAGACCTGATTGAAGAGCTCGAGCCTTTGGACTTGACCGAAGATCAGATCTGTGAGATCTATGCAGTTCTAGAGAACCGTCGCAAACGCACCTGGAAGGAGAACAAGCTTTTCAAGGCCGAGATGAAGAAGGACAGAGGTTCCTTCACGAAAGGAACGGATGTGCAGCCTCCCAAAGGTCAACATGGCGGTCCTCTGGGCAACCGAGTCGGGCGCAATGGTCGGGCCCGCCTCAACCGAGAGGAGTTCAAGAAGATTAGCCGCTGTCGCATCTGCAACAAGAAGGGTCACCGGGCTGAAGATTGCCAGCTCAAAGACGCGAAAGGCAAGAAACCGGTGGCTCCATCTGGATTCACCTACTCTTCAAGCTGCGCATCAACCGGGAGTGGAACGCTTTTCAACTTCCTGGCCCATGCCGAGCTTCAGGAGATCATTCAGCAAGTTTGCCATGGGAAGCCAGAGTCCTCAGAGCAGTGGTCTTTCATTGCCATGACTTCGGGCGATGCGATTTTGGACATCGGTGCAACACAGGATCTCATCGGAAAGCCAGCGTTGGACTTCTTGACTCAGCACTTGTTCAACTTAGGCTTGAAGCCAATCCTTGTGGATGCCCCGGTGAAGATTCCTGCAGGCATTGGCGGAACCGCCAACACTTTGGGTGCAGTTCTTATTCCTGTAGCTCCAGGTGGTGTTCCTGGTGTACTCGAGATGACGATCCTTGAGGCAGACGTGCCTCCTTTGCTGAGCGTGGGTTTCTTAGAGTTCTTAGGTGCCACCATTGATCTTTCCAAAGAAGTCATCATTTTGAAGACTCTTGGGGTGCAGATTCCTTTGCGGAAGCTGACTTCCGGGCATCGCACCATTCCTTTGATAGAGTGGGCTGGCGGAGATTTTCCAGTACCACGAGATTTGCGTCTCAAGTATGGCCTCACGGAAACGGCCTTCAACACTTCTGCGCAGGACTCTTCCGCGTATACAAAAGAGCAGCTGTCCTATGAAGGGAATTTATCCAATCTTTGTTTTGAGACCTTTGAAAATGAGCCCATTGACAACAACTCCAACATCAACATCATGTCTTGCACGAGCCATGTTGAACGTTTTCCTTCATTTGAGCAGCAGCAGCAGCAGCAGCAGCAGCAGCAGCAGTCATTAGGTTGTGCACATGTCTCAGACTCGGAGTACGGCAGATGTTTTCAAGAAGTTGATCATGTAGTTCCATCTGGAGCAGAAGTGCCAGCTCATCCATGTTGCGGTTTCCGTGTTTGTGGGCCCAAGCAAAGCCAATCTGATCTCATGGGAGATCAAACCAGCAAACTTGACTCGCAATTCGATACCTCTTCGACCAGAGACACAGCTCTTCGCCATGCCGTCATTGATCTCCGAACAGAGGTCAGAGCTGCTGTGCCAGTTGTGGAAGAAGATGGTGATCTCAATCTTCGAGATCTTAGAAGTGAACCGCGCCACCTTTGCCAGACTGGCGCGTGCGGAGAACAAGCAGAAGAGCGCTCTCTCGGACAAGACCGGCTAACTGGTGGGAGACGAACAAGCCGTGGGCAAGTGTCTCCATCCTCCCAACCGGATGGTGCATCGGGCCAACCAGTACGCATTTTGGACTGTGTGCCTGAATTGCAAAGCCCGGCTGTCATATCGCAGCAAGAGGACCTCAAACGCTTTGGGAAGAAAGGGAACGGGCCGCTCTTTGACTCAAGCGGCACCAAGTCAACTTCACTACGTCCCCACGGTCCCGGAGACGGCGGATCAGTCCTCTGGAAGTGCAGCGACCCCAGCTGGTCCCATGCCACCAGTGAACTCGGACATGACGCAGATGCTGGGCATGCTGCACTCAGCCCTGACGGACCTTGCGCGAGGTCAGACTCAAATTCTGATGATCATGGGGCAAGATCCAAATTCGGTTCAGACGGAAGCTCAAGCGTCGAACCGTCAAGAGATGGACACCCAGAGTTGGGAGGCAATGTCAAATCCCAACCTTTCTCCAGCCGAAGACTGAAGACAAAGGGGCATCAATGGCCCTCATGGATGGTTCGCTCCTCAATGATGATGGCGACCACGTTGCTTTCCATTACAGATTGTTCTGATGCTCTCCAAGTGAAGGCTTCTGAGAATGGAATGGACCACCGTGCTTTTGCTGCGTGGTGTGAGTTTCCTCCTCAAGTTCCCACCTCAAATGCAGTGCTTGGAGAAGTATGTCTTGATGATCGGGCCGTGCCATTTGCATCAGAGCTTGGAGAAGTATGTCCTCACGATCGGGCTTCAGCACTTGCAACTGAGCTTGGAGAAGTATGTCTTCACGATCGGGCTGCAACCGAGCATGCGCTTGGCGAAGTATGTCCTCACGATCGAGCTGCAACTGAGCAGGTGC